CCCCAGGGCGCGCGCTCGGGCCCCGTTGCGGGGTCGGGGCCGCCGGGGCACCTGCGTGCGGAGGCGGCGGGGCCCCAGCGAGCCCGGAGCCGCCCCGCGGCCCGCTCTGCAAGTAGAGCATGCAGCCATCTGGCGGCTTGCGGTCCCCGGAGCGGCCCCGAAGGTGGGAACCCAGGGAGCCTTCCAGATGGCACCGACGGTCTCAGTCATCCGTGGTGGGTGGCGGGAGGGTGCGCGGGGCCTTCGGGAGTCTGCGAGAACAAAGAATTACCGAGCACCCACACATCGCCCTCCGAGTCCACCCAGACGCTTTAGGCCAGGTTAGGTAGCAAGCGACCTTTGAAAAATGGCATCCTACTAATGAATTCTCGCGGGCCCTAGTTCGCTATCGCTGGGGTGGCTTCAGCTCTCAGTAGGGAGACACATATCGGATCTCAGTATCGGCCACATAAAATGATGGATTCTACTGGTCAGTAGGAGTGGCATTAACAAATAGGAGCTTTGTGGGTAAAGTATTGAAAGTTTAAGCTGAATTCCTTTAAAAGGCAGCTATCTGCCCTGCTCTTGTAGCTTAATTTAAGGGCGCTATCGATGCAAAAGCTCGTTGTTGATGCCAAAGACTGGAGGTTGGAGGAAGGGACTGCTGCTTTTCTTGGATACAAATTTGCATTTCTTCAAACATTAAGCAGATGTATGCATTCCCTTGAGCTATTACATACATTATAACCTGCCCTTAGGCAAATTCATTCCATGTGAGATGGTACAATGTTTTTATTTTTAATAAAATAATGGACTAAACATATACTCAGCCAACTATTTGGATGACTGGTGTGAGTATGGCTCTCACCACCTTCCCTCATTCTAAGTAAGATACATAAACATACATAGCTCCTGTGTTGTAAGTGTTCAAGTCACTTTTTTTTGGTAGCTACAAGAGCAGTTTTGGATTTAGAAAGAACATTTTGGTACACAAAATTAATAAAGATACTAGAAATTGCTTTTTGAGATAATAGTGGGCAGTCTTTGCTGCCTGGTCCCTTCAACAACATTTTAAATGCAGCTCAGCGACCACAGTTTTTTCTGCTACTTACTAGATTTCATGCTTGAAAGCAAGTCAGTATTCCTCCTCCCTTTAAAGTGAACACTGAAGGTCTGTTTTTGTTTTGGCAGTTCCCACCCCTGTTTAATTGTCTCATTTTGAAAAAGAAAAGAGGAAATAGGAAGGTGGTAGTATTGTAATTGCTACTGGTTTATTCTGCTAGTTATGTCTTTCAGTGGGATTGAAGGGCTGTTCAGAGGCAATTTTAGTTCAAAATGTTTGTGCTTCAAAATTATAAGGGCCTTGTGGGTTTTTTGTTTGTTTCATTATGTTTTCTGGGTAGCATTCATCTTTTTTCCAGTATAGTGTCAGATAATTTAAATGTATTATAGTATGGCATTAAATTTTTCTTTTCTTTTGAGGTTTAAGATGGCTACATTTCTGAAACATTAAGGAAGCCATCCTCAAAAAATTAAGTTGATGCTGGACTTGGTGGCACATACCATTAGTCTCAGGTCTCTGGAGGCAGAGGCAGATTGATCTCTGTGAGATCAGGGCCAGCCTGGTCTACATAGTTCCTGGGAAGACAGGAGACACTGTCTCAAAAAAAAAAAAAAAAAAAAAAAAAGGTTGAAAAGTGGAGTGTGTGTGTCCTTGGTGTTAATAGTTCATGAAATTTAGATGTGTGGTTTTTAGGCTCTTGCATAATATGTAATTTGGTCACTATTTGGAGTATTGTGATGAGTATGATGAAAACAAATTCGGAATTATGTTAGAAAAACCTTTTCCCCCTTTTGTGCGGAATTAACTTTTTTTAAAGTTCTCTGAAATAAACCCTCCAGTTCAGCATTTATTGGGTGCCTATTTTATAGCCTGTGTTAAGTATAGTAGGCAAAATTTCTTGTGTCTTTTTAAGTTTTGCTAGATAGAAAGCTTATAAGCTATACATTTTTACTACTAATAGATGTTTCACTTTTAGGTTGAAATTGGGCAAGGATCCCACATCTTTTTAGACAGGTATTCAAGAGCCCGGCTGATAGAAAGTTCTGGCAGTATTTCATGACAGTAAGTACATTTACCATTTTGGTTGTTAATTCCACATGAAATTAAAGTATAGCTGATATATTGGAGAGGGTTGATAAATGAATCAAGTGGTTCCCATTGAGACAGTGGTAAAGAGCCTCCCATCCTGTTCAGGGATGTCTGGTACGATGGCAGGGCTTGAATGAACTGAGCTTGGTAGTTGTGTGGAAAATGCACAGGTGGAAAGAAGAGGGTGTGGTTGACCTGGAAATGCCTGGAGGGAGCCTGTAGGCCTGAATAGCCTACTTGCTGGTAGAATTGAGCTATGTAAAAGGTGTCACCCAAAGCAAAAGCTCAGGGTGAGTCACTTAGGCTTGAAGTTAGGCACATTGTGAGGTCAGGATGGGGATTTCACTGGATAATGTAGTTAAGAACTGTTGTCTGAGTCTACATAGCAAGTTCCATGCTAGCTGGAGCTACAGGGGTGTCTGTTTCAAAAAAAAAAAAAAAAAAAAAAAAAAAACAAACCTATCACCTGGCCTGCATGTTATTGAGTTCTGGCTCAGCTACTGTTCTGTGACCTTGGGCATGAGTCACAGTTGCCTCATCTAAAATGACAGACCTGCATTTGGTGATTTCCCCCAGGCACATTCTAGCACTAAGATTTTTATTAATTAGGTTAAGTGGAGACTCTGTTCTTGTAAAGCTATGAAAAAGAGGTACAGATTCAATGCAGGAGACCTTTATGGGCTCAAGAGCTGTAGGAGCAGTTGTAGTGAGTTTTAGTCTTTAGATGGTATGCTAGGGTGGGCTGGGTAGTGATCCCTCGAAATAGCAAAGGGGGGCCAGATCCAGATCTTTTCAGATCAGCAATGAACTAGAGCTTGAGGGAGAGAGAAGAACCGAAGATGACCTTGGTATTGTCAACCTGGAGGAATAGAGGTGGTGCCCTCAGAACTGCCAGGATAGGGGAAATGAGTTCCATGTCCCGTGTCCTCTAAGTTTTGGTTGATGGTTGCTTATATGGCAGGCAAAGCAGTGAGAGTATATTAAACGTTTATGAGATCTTGTATGTAATGAGTTCATTAACAGAGGGAAGAGAAAACAACTTTGGATTGAAACTATTAGGAGAGGTGGGAATACAGTGAACTCCAGAGGAAGATTGCTTTGGAAGGCTGGGAAGAAGAGGATTCCGGGTACAGATGTGGGCCAGTTGGAGACCCACACAGCAAAGGCCAGTCAAGTCTGATGAAGACAAGCAGCTTCCCAGAGTGGTTTCAGTGGCGTGTTAGAAAGCACACATTAGGGAGTTTGAGTGGGAATAAAGAGGTGTGCAAGAACTGTGTCACAGCAAGAGTAAGACACAGACTGGGGAGTAGGGAAAAGTGAATGTTTACATGTGCTTGTGCTGTGTCTGTATGAGAATACTTGGTGTTAAGGGAGAGCAAGAAAGCTGGCAGGCAGCACTGAAAATAATTTGAGATAAGGAATCCTGATACTATTTCTTAGCCTTAAAAAATAGATAAAAGAGCAGGTAAAGGGTAGGTGTATGGATAAGAAAAAAATTCTGTAACTGGGAAGAACCAGACTGAATTTGAAGAAACAATAATTACACCAGGTTACATTTGTGGAGCACTTACTCGGTGTCATGACCTTTGCTAGGTGCATTTTATTCAGTAACTTGTCATAGCAGCTCCGTAATCTTTAACTTGGAGGATGGAAAGTAAACTGCCAACAGACACTGCTAGAAGACAGGAGCTGAGCCTCCAACCCACACAAGCTGACCCAAGAGCTAGCACCAGAGCCCATAATCCAGAATGCAGCTATGAGCCATGTTACACGTGTTGTTATTCTGGATTGTGAAGCAGCTTAAATGCTTCCAATATATAGTCAGTAGATTACAAGGAGCTCATGAACAATGAGGCCTAAGCTCTACAGGGAAAACTGCCAGGAGTGTGTCTAAAGTTCTTGCCATCTGGCAAGGCATGGTGGCGCATGCCTTTAATCCCAGCACTTGGGAGGCAGAGGCAGGCAGATCTCTGTGGGTTTGAAGCCTGGTCTACATAGTGAGTTCCAGTCCAGCTGGAGCTACAAGGGAGACCCTGTCTCAAAAAGACTTTTTTAAAAAGTTCTTGCTATCTGAGGATCTAGGTTTTGGTCGGTCCCATTTACTCTGTCACCCTGGGTAAGCCAGCACCCTCATCTGCCTTGGTTTTCTTATTTTATTATTACATTTACTTTGTGTATATATGCACACATGCGCTCGTGTGTCATGGCATGCACGTGGAGGTCAGAGAGCAGCTTGTGGGAATGGGTTCTCTCCTTCCTTCATGTGAGTTCCGGGGTTTGAACTTAGGTTGTCAGATTTGGTAGCAAGCATCTTTACCCACTGAACCATCTTGGCAGCCCCTACTTCGGTTTCTTAAGCTGCTGTATAGAGCCATGAACATCTCATGACATATTTAGAATGTGTTCTGTAATTGTAAGTACACTGTTTACTGGACTTGTGCACTTACTATACTAACATTATTAGAATG